AACAATTTTAAAGAATTTATATGAAGTCTGTTTAGGCGGACATTGCAAAGTTATTTAAAAAAAATCATGATTTTTGAATTCTACGTTATACATTTATTTTTTCATATGTTTATATGATTGTGAAGATAAAATGATGGGTGCTTTGATTTTTGGAATACTCCTGTTTAACATCATGCATGTCCAAAATTTGAAAACTGAGGCATTTGGTTCAGCAAGATTGGAAATTATAGTGCTCATGTATCGCAAATGATCTTATTTATAATTAAGAATAGTGGAGATATATTAGCAATTTTCAAGATAATATTTGGTATAAATTGTTAATTGGGTGTATATTTTTTGAACTTTTCAAAGGAAAAAGTCAAGACTATAGTCTTCTTAATTTAAATGACAATATTCGGGTTTTTGGGATATATGTTCAGTTGTAAATGAAATTTGAATGCTGCATTATGACCTTGGACAAGAAGATGAAAATCAGAATCATAAAAATCAGATAATGTTTTTTGATACATTTATGAAAAAAAAAAAAACAATTATTATTTCAGGTCTGCAAGCAATTATAATCTATCAACTTTATTCTGAAAAATATGATTTTACATTATATCAAACATTGAAAAAAAACAGTACAACTGTATTTTGGACCTGTAGAAAAATACAGTTAATTTACATATTTCGTTTATAGTACAGGTGTAAAAAAGCTGTATTTTTGAGAAGAAAAAAAACAGGTGTAATTTGCTATACGTTTATCTAAACTAAAAAAGATAGATAAAAATACAGGAGTAAAATTTCGTACAGGCAGTTTACAACAGTCACAATTTTCCTTGGAAAATATTTTGTTATATGATAATAGAGTAAAACACAATACGTAATTGGCATTCTTTTAAGAGAAAAGATCTAGATAAAGTGTAAGAGTGAGATAGCATGGTGAAGATGGGATCTTAGTATCTCATGATCCTTGGATCACAAGATCAAGATGTAACAACTCAACAACAGATCACCTCCCTTGAATAAGATTTCCATTTACTTAATTTGCATTAATTCATTGATAACAGAACTTTTCTTAAAAAAATTAAATACATAGTATTTGTATTTAATTGGATTATGATCAGATGGATTGGATTAATAGGATTATGCCATGGTTCATAACTGTTCACTGTTTAGGGGAGAAAATGTGTAAGTGGCCGGATAGCTCAGTCGGTCGTGCCACAGTATGGTACTTTGAAGGTCTAAAATTATTAACTTTTTATATGCATGAAACATTTTTAATCTTGTTGCGTATAATTATAGCAATTGATTTACTTGTATAAGAGATATTGTTGAAGTGACAATGAAAACAACATATGTTCATGTATTTATATATATAGAAAACAACATTTGAATTATAGAAATTAAATGTTGACATAATGATGTTGATCCAGGAATTTACAACAGAGGAGTTTAAGGGGTATAATATATATTTCAGTGTGTACATGTATTTGGTACCATTGACCTAGTGGTTAAGGCGTCTGCCTTCTTATCGTGAGGTTGAAGGTTCCAGCCCCACAGGGAGCGCTAATTGATAGTTCTATGAATGTTTCAAATGGGACTCGTTCCGAAATGGCCACCGGTTACCGGTTTCTACACGCCTGGCGCCTGGCATAGAGGTAGTATTGAGTTTGGAGGTACATGGTATGCAAGCAAAAGGTTCTCATAAGTCAGAAATGGCTGGCCCTTTCAGTAGGGATGACACTTAAATAAACAAGACCTTTCCCCTTTACCATTAACTTTTTTTTTCAAAAAGGCAAGTCCTGGATGTTATATTATATTTATGTGTTGCGGTTCAGGGGAGAAGATGTGTTAGCCCCTGGATAGCTCAGTCAGTAAGAGCTATGGTACGGAGCTATTCTGAGGGTCCCGTGTTTGAGCCTGGTCAGGCTGCATATTCTTCTCACCCTGTGACATTTGGAGCCCAACTTCGGGTTGTGACTGAATATAGCTCAGAGTTAAATTTACATTGCTTTGTAACCTGTGAAATTTGAGGATGAATGTTCAATAAAGTAGGACAGTATCTCAAGCCTAAGAAATTTACTAGGGGAGAAAATGTATATAAGAGGCCGCATAGCTCAGTCAGTATGGTATTCCGAGGGCCCTAGGTTCGTTTCCCGATCAGGGAAACAATATTTATTTTTGTTTTGTTGTTTTCTTTACTTTTTTTCTCCATTTTTTATCATTATTTCCTGTACACAACCCTTTCCCCCCACCTTGACTGGGACAAAACAAAATAAATGAAAGAAAATAGGATTGGTGTCGGTAGATGCACAGGTGACAGTATGATAAAACGCCAAATGTAAGGCGGCTGTAAACTAAATATGGGGCAACAAAATGAATTCTTTATTGGTGCATGGAAACAATATCACCCCTCCCTCATTTGTTTTTATTTCTGTTGTCGCGGTCGAAGGGCCCATTCACAAAGTACCGACAAATGGTAAAAAAGTGCGACAAAATAAAAAATAAATATTTCTCATTCTGACACTCTTTCATGTTTTTTGCTACTTGTAACATTTTTCCACATGTCACGGTCCAGAACTGTTAACTTTTTACGGGGGATATAGTGTAAGCGGCCAGATAGCTAAGTTGGAAGAGCTGGAGTACGGTATTCTGAGGGATGAGGGTTCGCGTCACGGTCGTGCTGCACACTTTTCTCACCCTGTGACATTTGTAGCCCAACGGGGGAGAGTGATTGGATACAATTCAGAGTTTAAATTACATTGCTCTGTAACTCTGTGAAATTCAAGGATAAATTTCAATATAGCAGGGGAGTGTCATGGTTCAGAAGTGGTCACTTATTAGGGGAGAAGGTGTGGAAGTAGCTGTCGGGCGAGCCGCAATACCGTATTCTGAAGGTCCCAAGTTCGAGTCCAGGTCAAACTGCCCATTGTTTTCACGCTGTGACACACAACCAAACAAGATAACAAAATAGCAGTAAACAGACACCATAGTTTTGTGATCATGGCTAGATGGCAGCACTTAAATGCAAAAGTGGAATTCTATTGTTAATTTGAATTGTCATTTTTGTCTAAGTAATGTGTTGAGTTGAGAAAACGTTTTGTAACATTTTGATATCAAAGTTAATGTAATCTTAAGACGCATACTAAAAGAAATTACATAGATCTCATTTAAACAGGATTTGTCCGTCATTTTGAAAAACGGCCGAAGAATACATACCGCTTTAAACCTGTTAAACTTATATTTATGGCAAATAATGATTACAACCAATCATTGAATTGTAAATATTTGAATATGGGACAAGTTATTGGACCTTTATTCTTTAGAATAAATATGTATGGTTATGAATGACAAGTTTTACATTTGTAGTACCCTTTCGGGCAAAATTTTCGGGTAATTTGACCTAGTTTTCGGAGAAATTGGCCATTTTCAACTACAGTTTAAAATTAGGTATAACCAATTAAGAAATAAAACAAGGGACAAGAAACAATATTTAACGCCCCTGACAAGATTTAAAAGTATTTATTTTCTTGGTTTAATTATTTTAGAACCTTGCAGGTTTTTTCAAAATGCCCTATGAAAGATGCATAATTTGACGATTTAGCTCTATTCACACATATATTCTGAAGAAAATAAATACTCTCAGAATATTCAAATACTCGCACCGAAATAATTGTTCTATGCTGAAGATTAAAACTAATGTTCAAAGCGCTTTGTTATTAAACAGAGTCGCAGGCAAGTTTTAAAAAACATGTACAAACCGTGGTAATATTACGCCCGTGTGATTATTACGCGACACCGACTCAAGTTATTGGTTTGGGATGTGGGCTCTGTGTGCACGGGCGTTGTCATCTATAAAAATGAAAGCAGGACCGACTGCGCCAGCGTACGTGTGTACATTGACGTGTACGTGTCGTTTTCAATGACTTACCTTTGTGCCGTCAGTGTACTCTTTTCAATGATATGTAGGTCCGTTTTCCCCTGAGTGCTTATTCCAACCCACAACATGACTGAACCCAAACCATAACGGTCGTGTATTGTTCTGCAATGCATACTGGAGCTCAGCGTTCATTTGGACTTCTCTGTCCGTCTGTCCGTGAAGTCCACACAAAACCTTGACTCATCAGTTAAGAGGACCGGGGTCCAATCATTCACTGTCAAAGTAACTTGAGTCTGCGCCCATTGCAAACGCTAAAAGGAATGTCAGAGGAATGCAAATTGCTGGCCTCGGTGAACTCAACCCAGCACCATGCAACCTGTTTCTTACAGTTTGTGTGCTTACACGCACCCCAGTTGCATTCTGGAAGTCGTAACGTAAGGTCGTAGCATTCGAGAACCGTTGGCGCCTGGCCTGTAGGACAATAAATCGGTCATGGGCTTGAGTCGTTAAACGTTTCCGATCTCCGGACATTCCCAGCCAGTCATTTGGAATCGGCTCCACATCCTGGAGACAACGCTTTGGGATTCCCAAAGGATACGGGCAACTTGACTTTGTGAACGACGGGCCTCCAACATTCAAATACCCCTGTTCATCTCATATTCACAAAGACTACGTCTAACCTGTCCGTTTGCCATAGTTTGTTAATTTCGAACACAGTTTTACACCAAAAAAACATGACGCATTGCTCCTTGTACACATTTAATTGAAAACACATGGACATCAAAACACACAATTTCCATGGGTATGCTATTCCATGTGCTAATCGTGCAAGGTGTGCATGACAAATCGATAACTTAAGTACACAATTATGAGGTCCGCATACATGTGTATCGTTAGGGGAAATATGATATTAATATGATGATAATAAGACTGATATATGCAATGTCAAAAAGGTAATCCTTAGCAAATTTTAAGTTCAACTTGTATATATATAACAAACCTGATTAAGCCTTGTCATATTCTATATAACAAACATGATTTAGCCATTTCATATTTTATATTACATACCTGTCTAAGTCTTTTTTTTATTGTATATAACATACCAGAATTTTGCCTTTTTATGATATATACAACATACCTGATTTCGATTTTTCATTTTCTAACTGTTTTTGTTCAGGAGAGTCTTCTACTTTGATTCTTTTTATCTCCTATAAATAATAATACAAATAATTCTATTTTATTCATTAAATTTTCAAAAATGTTTCTTGTATAAAGTTATATTGGTATTTTAAGTCCGTTTGTATAACATACAGTGTCCCAATATACAGTAGAACCTCAACGAGACAAACTTCGGTAAATTGATTTACTGAATATGCAGAAGTAAAATGAAAGTCTTGATTGTTCCCCCATTATATTCTTTATAGACTAGAACTCCACAAGTTGGATGTCTGGCCTTGTCAACAGTATAGCTGTCAGTTAGGCATTTGATTCTTAAATATAGGTTATTCATGATCTTGTACATGTTCCTATAGCTTTAGTGGCATTTTAACTGATTGTAATAATGTCACATCAAGATAAACAAGAGCCGGTTGAACCGGGTGATGCTCCCCGAATAGGTTTTGGACACAGGAAGGTATACCTCTTGTAGTGTCAGAGTTATGTCACAGACAAAGTTCAAAGTGTAAAAATAACCCAAATGTTATGCACGACACATTGTCTCAATATGGTGATCATTTTTGTGAAATAGTTGTAAAATCCAGCTTCAAATAACGCAGTTATGGGCCGGACATGATTTTCCTGCAAGGCCATGCTTTCACCTTGACTTTCAAGATAGCAACCCAAATGCTGCATGCGACACGTGGATTTAATATGGTGATCATCTCTGTGAAATAGTTGTTTAATCCGACTTCAAGTAACACAGCTATGGGCCTGACACGATTTTGCTGCAAGGTTATGCCGTGACCTTGACCTTCAAGGTAGCGACCCAAATGTTGCCCGCGACACATTGTCTCATTATGGTGATCATATCTGTGAAATAGTTGTAAAATCCGACTTCAAATAATGAAGTTATGTGCCGGACACGATTTTGCTGCATGATTATGCTGTGACCTTGACCTTAAAGGTAGCAACCAAAATGTTGCGCGCAACACGTCATCTCAATATGGTGATCATTTCTGTGAAATAGTTTTAAAAGCTGACTTCAAATAACGAAGTAATTGGCCGAACACGATTTTGCTGCAAGGTCATGCCGTGACATTGACCTTCAAGGTAGCGACCCAAATGTTACGCGCGACACGTCGTCTGAATATGGTGATCATTTCTGTGAAATATTTTTACAATCCGACTTCAAATAATGAAGTTATGGACCGGACACGATTTTGCTGCAAGGTCATGCTGTGACCTTGACCTTCAAGGTAGGGAGCCAAATTTTGCGCGCGACATGTCGTCTCACTATGGTGATCATTTCTATTAAATAGTTTTAAAATCCGACTTCAAATAACGAAGTTATGGGCCGGACACGAATTCGGGACTTACGTACGGACGGACGGACGGACGGACAACCCGACGACTATATGCTCCCCCAAAATTTTTCGGTGAGCATAATAAAACTGTTATATATCAAAAATACAAATACCATGGAAAAGATTTTCACTGACGGGTCTTATGAAGGATTCTGTGATGGATTCTTATGCAATGCACAGGTCAATGAAAAAAACTTACATACCAAATTTAGAGTCAATCAAACTTAATGTGACCCAGTTATGCTCTGTTAAGAAAATTATAAAAGGGCAATAACTCAACAAGAGCCACCGCTGAGCAGGGACAACACTCGACTTTTTCACTTTTTTCTTAAGAAAATAAAATAAACGGTTTAAACAAATCTCAATTATACAAAAAATAAAGAAAACAAGGAATGTGTCCATATATGAAACAGGCACCGCAGCACTTAACTGTTTTGTCAATCTTATGACTCTAGGTCAACTATTTTTTGGGCTACACATTACACAAGTTAAAAACTAAAATGTTTTACTCACTTTTCAAAAACTAAATAAATCAACACGCAAACCCAAAGGTGCATAAAAACAAATGCTGAACAACATTCTTTATAGTTAAGGAGAAATGTACAACATTTCAAAGCAGTACCTCAAAGGGTATAGGATATGGATTGGGTGCTACATAAAATTCTAATTCAAAAAGGGGCATAATTTTATCAAAATCCAAAATGGTAATACAAAAACAAGTGGGCCAAGATGGACCTAGATCGGTCACCTGACCCATCAAACTCATCCATCGATTACCTACACAAGCACCTTGACCAAGTTTCATGACAGGTGAGTCAAAAATGTGACCACTAGAGTGTTAACAAAGATTTTTCACATTTGAGCAGTGTGACCTAGTTTTGACCCAACTTGATCCTTTATTCAACCTTGACCTATAAGTCATCAAAACAAAATTTCAGATCAATTTCCAGGATATTTCAGGGCTTGAGCTTAGGTCAAAATTTTAGGGAGAAGGGACTTCTCCCTCCAGCTGATTTAGGGAGAAGTAAGGAGACTTTAGCGATAAGTTGGGTGATATGTTGGGCGTCATCTTGAGACATGTTTCGTTTAACCCCAGGTGACCCATATTCAAACCTGACCTAGAAATCATCAAACCAATCTTTCAGACCAATGTCCATGATATTTGGATCAAAACAGTAACCACTAGAGTGTTAACAACTTTCTTCTATTTTTAGCTCCTGTACCCTAGTTTTTCTTTTGAGACGGCCCGTGTTCGAACTCATCCGAGAAATTATGTAGACAAGCATCCTGACTATGATTGATGACATTTGAGTTAAACATGTGACCACCAGAGTGTTAACATCGTTTTTTTTCATATTTGGCCTCTGTGACCTTGTTTTTGACCCAATGTGACCCATATTCGTATCTGACCTAGAAATCTTGAAAACAATATTTCAGACCAATTTCAAGCATATTTGAATCAAATCTGTATCCACTAGAATTTTAACAATTGTTTCCTTTTTTCCTGTGACCTAGTTTTTCATCCGGGATTAATAATATCTGTCATATTTTTTGCGGTTTATCCGTCCTCCGAGTTACCGCCAATGGGCGGGTGACCGAGGGACGGATTTTTCGATTCGAACCGCAAACATATGTCAGATATTTTTCTTGCATATTCTACCATATTCCATTATATGTTTAATTCTTTAACTTTAATTTCAATGGAAATTAATATCATTACAACCGTAACTACTTTCAAACAACAGTGTATGAATTACAACGTCATTCATAACGGTAAAATGACGTCATCCTAAGCGTGCCATTCTATAGCATACCCCATGCCAAATGAAATTTCTGGCATGGGTAAAACTGAACGGAAACGCCAGTCTGATATGCAAGAATAATTAGAACAGCATCCTGACCAAGTTAGATGATGGTTGAGGCAAAAATGTCACCGCTAGAGTGTTAACGGACAAATGTGGACGACGACGGACATTCAACGATCCTAAAAGCTCACAGTAAGCTGGCTACACATCATATGTTTATGGTTATTTCATATATGAAAGAAAAATTAAAAATGCTGTCATGCATGTTGAAGTTTCAGAGCTGAAATTATCACCACCTTCTTTAATTATTTATCAAAAAATGACAAAGTTTGAACCTCCACAGTGACCTTGACCTAATTCGTAGAAACACGAGTCTTGTACGACCCACACCATACGTCTATGGTTATTTCATATGTAAAATAAAATTAAAATCCTTTCATGCATACTGAAGTTTCAGTAGACACGCCCATCACTATCTATATTGATTTAGATAAAAAATGACAAAGCTTGAAACTCCACAGTGACCTTGACCTTAGTGGTAGAAACCCGAATCTTATTGGCGACACGCCATACAGTTATGATTTTGTCATGTTAAAGAAAACTAAAATCCTTTCATGCAAACTGAAGTTTCAGAGCAGACATTACCACCACCATCTATATTTATATAATATAGAAAATGACAAAGTTTAAACGTCAACAGTGACCTTGACCTTAGTGGTAGAATCCCGAGTCTTGTTCGCGACACATCATACATCTATTGTTATTTTATATGTGAAAGAAAAGTTACAATCCTTTCTATGCATACTGGAGTTTCAGAGCGGACATTACTACCCCTCCTATATATTTATATAACATAAAAATGGCAAAGTTTGAACCCTTACAGTGACCTTGACCTTAGTCGTAAGAACCCGTGTCCTGTTTGTGACACACCATACATCTTTATTATTTCATATATGAAAGAAAAAATTAAATCATTTCATGCATACTAAAGTTTCAGACCGGACACAACCACCATTGTCTATATGTATAAAGCGGGATGGACGGACGGACTGACAGACAGAGGGTTCGATTTCAATATGCCTCCCGTCGGGGGCTTTAAAAAACATGAACCGGTTTATCAACCAGAAACAAACATTAACAGACGTACAGGTATATCAATCAGAAACAAACAGTAATACAATTGTACCAGTATATCAACCTGAAACAAACAGTAATGCAATTGTACCGTTATATAAACCAGAAACAAACAGTAATACATGTACCGGTGTGACGTGAATTTTGTCATACCCGTGAGAAACGTAAGACTTTACGTTCTGTGCAATGGCAGATATTTGTCGGACGGGGCCGTGAGAGATGTAAGACTGCCTGGTAAACATCGTTTAGAAGCTAATTAATTAATCCAAGTGTAGTTCTTCCTTTTATTCGTGAGCAGAGAGCTATTTTCTATGATATCTACTTTAATTTATCTTTGACAACGTATCGTGTGGATGAAATATTGTCCAAATCAGTCGCGGTCTTTTAAAATCGTTCGTTTCCGATGTCGAGTTGATGGAAAATCCTGGAATATCGAACAGCTTTGATCGAGGAAAGCTTGTTTTGATATTTTATATTAGAATGCGTAGTCCCAAGCATCGATGAAAGTATAATAGTTTTTATTAATGCTTGCAGATACTGACCATGTCAGTCTGTTAAGAAAAATTGGCGCTATGTAGCTCAATATGAAATAATGCCACTCAACTCAGTCTTATAAATGGGCCCCGTAAGTGAAGATATGTGTGAATGATATGTGTGAATATATATATATATATATATATATATATATATATATATATATATAATATATATATATATATATATATATATATGGACTTATTCACAAAC